TCAGGATTTGGGAAATAGTGGGTCTGAGTTTCTGTCTTCTGTTGGGTCAGGAGACCGAGGTGCCCTGCCTCTGTGTTGTTCCAGGAGCCCTAAACCAATGCATCTTACCACACTCCAGGATTCTCCTCTGGTTGTCTCTTGCACCATCCACAGGTTTACAGTTGTCAGTGGAGGGGGATGAGCAGGGGACAATGACTCAATGACATATCGCCTGGATTGGAAGTCTAACCATCAACTTTTAATGTTTTCTACAGACAGGTTGATCCATATTGCCCAGCGTGACATTAGCATAAACAGAAGTCCGACTCAGCTGTTTCTTCCAGGTTTGAGGGTTGGGGAGCTTAGGCATCAGGCATTTTTTCCCACCACACTGGAACCTGTCACTTGTTTACGTAAGGACCATTTTATGAACTGATGCATAATGTTTTACCCCTGTCATAGTTTGGGTGCTGCAGGAGAATTTGGGGCTGTTTTTGTTTAAGCTGATTTTCTTTTAAGTTAAAATACTAGGTTTTTTAGGAAAAAAGTTATGAGTTTCTCCTCCCCTCCACCTTCTCAACCCTGGCATTATTTTTGAGCTCATTTTGAAAGATAAGAGGGTGTAAGCCCGATGGTGACATGCTGATGTGCATCCCTGGAGGAAGGATGTGGATGCCCAGAGACAGTGAGGAATGCATTAGGATGGGAGTACTTAGAAGACGGCTTGAGAGATTGATATGTTAGGGTATGGTGATGGAGAAGTGGACTGGGTGAGATTAAGAACAGCCTATGATAGAGGTCAGAAAGTTACAGCCTGGGGGCTGCCTGCTCTTGTAAATAAAATTTTGTTGAAACACTGTTACATCAGTGTTTGAGATTGTCTATGGCTTGCATTTGCACTGCAAGCAGAGTTGCAACAGAGACCACATAGCTTGCAATGCCTGGGATATTTTCTATCTGGCCCCTTATAAACAAGTTCCCTGAGACTGGACCTAGAAAGTCAGGTGAAAAGCTTGTAGATTATTTTGGGAGACTGAGAAGATAGAGCAGTATTTTGACAATGGTTAGCTTTTAGTCTTAGGAATTTCTATAAATCTTCATAAGTGATTTTTCCCATAGCCGGACTAGTATCAGGCGGCAGGGTGGAAAGGGAAGATTTCAGAGTGGAGACAGATGATGCTGGAGGCCAAGTCAGGGAAAGGATCCATGGAAGGGATTTGGGTAAAGAGTGAGGCTGACATGATGTGGTGCCTCCGGGCATATACCCAGCCTCTGAGGGGAATGTCACTAACACCTTTCTGTTTGAGGGGGAAATAATCAGCACATATCAAACTCTCACAGTGTACCGGGACGTTCGCTGGGTGTTTTTCACATGTACTTTTATTTAATATTTATAGCAACCTCATGAAGCTGCACTTCTGACACCCATTTACAAAGCAGGAAACCAAGATATGAAGAAGTAAGGTGGCTCACCAGGTGTCATACTCTTAATAAGTGAAAGAGTGTGGATTTAATTCCAGGCATCTCTGATTGCAATGCCTACGATAGTTGCAATATAGCAGGAAACTTGTGTATAGTAGTTTATAAACCCATTGCCTGTGGGGATGCTAAGTCTGCAAGAATAAGCCTGGGAGTCCCCCTTCCTGTTAGGATATGGATGCTGTGGCTGAGACTGATGTTCCTGTCGGGATCTCACTTGGTACTGATCTCTGAGTATGCCTCGTGGGTGCTCTTCGGAGGAGGATTCTTCCCACGAAAGGTGATGAAGGCGTAATGCAGCTCCTGCTCCAACTCCAAAGGAGGGGTGGTCTCTGCAAAGCTTAAGGAGTCAGCGGGGCTGTCTAACTTGGAGTTCTGCTGGTCACTCTGTATGGAAGGCAAAGAAGGGGGTCAGAGCAAAGCAGTGTGGCAGGTGGGGAGGAAGGGCAGACAGGAGGGAATGGAGGCAGAAAAGCTCCCTGAAGTCAATTTGATTGTGACAGGACATTTGCTCATTCTTCCATTCTTATAGCAAACATTTCTTAAGGTCCCATATCTTCAGTTATCCAACAAAGATAAGACCTGTTGGCTGCTTTCCAATTCTTCTGAATACTCACATAGACCTATGTGGAAAATACTGTTATTTTTACTAAGAAAGAAACTAAGTCTCAGAGATGTTAGGTACTTCTGAAGGTCATACATCTACTGATCATGAACTCAACCCCTGGCCTCACAAAGGTTTCCTATGTGTCAGGTACTGGACACACAGGAAGATGTTTATGAAAAACTACTCTTCCTGTGTGTGTCTCCTTTACTCTTCTATTACTATCACACTCACAATAATTCTGACTTAAGATATGTGGGGTTTTACCCACCACCAACCAATTCTCCGACACCAGCTGGGTGTTCTACAATATAACTCAGTTCCAACACTGTCTGCATGGAGATATTGTCAGATCTAACAGGTTTAGGGCTCAGTCCCATAATATCCGACCCCCAACGCTCACTGCCACTTCAGACAGCAATTGCAAGTCCAAAGTTGTCACTTGTGGTTCTGACCAACTGAGTATAAATTGGAAGTTCCCACATCCCACTCCTCAAGTTCAATTAATTTGCTAGAGTGACTCACAGAACTCATGAAAACAGTTTACTTACTGTGTACCAGCTTATTATAAAAGGATGTGATAAAGGAAACAGATGACCATCCAGATCAGTGGTTCTCAACCTCCTTAATGCCTCAACCCCTTAATACAGTTCCTTACGTTGTGGTGACTCCCAACCATAAAATTATTTTTGTTGCTACTCTATAACTGTAATTTTGATACTGTTATGAATCGTAATGTAAATATATTTTTGTTTTCCAATGATCTTAGGCAACACCTGTGAAACGTTCATTTGACCCCCAAAGGGGTCGCGACCCACAGGTTGAGAACTGCTGATCCAGCTGGAAGAGATGCATAAGGCAAGGTGTGTGGGAAGGGGCAAACTTTCATGTTCTCTCCAAGTACACCATCCTCCCAGCCCCTCCATACAGACCCCCACTTGGAAGCTCCCTGAACCCCAAACTCTGAGGATTTATATGGAGGTTTCATCATGGAAGTATGACAGATGATTAATTCCATTTCCAGCCATGCTGCATTCTCTGGATAATGGAGGATAGGGCTGAAACTTCTAAGCTTCTAATTTTGGCTTGGTCTTCCTGGTGCCCAGCCCCCATCCACGAATCCACCATGAGCTACCTCATTAGAACAAAAGACACTCCTATCACCCAGGAAATTCCAAGGGATTGAGGGGTACAAATATTTCCTGCTGCAGACTCATTTCTCAGCTGTACATTTATGTCAAAACTTCTCAAAAGAGTCTTTATACTTTCTCTCCTTCCATTCTTTTTTTAATTCATTCCAATAAAGATATTTGCCTTCAACAGGCTACTAGATCTGCTTTTGTTGAGATCAGCTGTGATATCACTTGGCTAAATTTAAGTGGTCTTATTTCAGATCCTTAATAAGTCCTTACTGGACTGCTTAGCACTTGATAAAAATGAGCACTCTCTCCTCCCTGAAGTTGCACTACCCCTTGGCCACCAGGACTCAACCCTATACTCTCAAGGACATTTATTTTTATTCAGTGGTCTTCTTGCTGTTTCCACCTTATCTCCTTGACTCTAAATGTTGGGGCATCCCAGGGCTCTGTTTGCAGACCCCTTCTTTTCATTGTGGTTTTATCCATTCTCAGACCTCGATGTGAAAGACCCCCAAATATCTGTGTCTCCCACCGGGACCCCTTTCCCGAGTGCCAGACTCTGGCCATCTACTTGTCATCTTCACTTGGACATCTCAGAAGCACCTCAAAGTTGTTGTAACCAAAATAAAGTTTGATTCCCTCTTTAAAATGTACTCCTCCTGCAGAGCTGTCAAGTTCAAGAATTGGAAATTCAATTCTTTAAGTTTTTCAGGGCAACCTCATTGGAGTCATCTTTTGTATCTATGGACATTTATGACAATCTCTGGAAATCTGTGACATCCATGGAGTCATCTTTGACATTGATGACATGTACGAGGTAAAAACAGTGAGCTGTCTTTGCTCATACTTCAGGTGCACCTTGCAAATCCTTTTGGCTCCACCTTCAAAATGTATCCAGATTCCAACTGTTTCACACCAGAGGCAACATTGTTACCCTGAACTAAGTCTGTCTAATAAAATGAATTGTGTCCCCCACTCTCCAAATTCATATTTTGAAGATCTAACCCCCAATAGGATTGTATTTGGAGATGAGGTCTTTAAAGAGGTAATGAAATTTAAGTGAGGTCATTAGGGTAGGACCCAAAATGACTTAAGTCCTTATAACAAGAAGAGACACTAGAAATGCGTGGGCATAGAAACAAGGCCATGTGAGGACACAGCGAGAAGGAGGCCATCTACAAGGCAAGGAGAGATTTTCCAGGAGGAATATTTTATATTTATCTCATAAGAATGTGTGAAAATACAGATATTACCCAAGCACACAGGACAATCAAGAAATGGGAGATAATTGCTGAAAAAAAGATAATTGCATGGGCGATTGCTGATCGTGTGCTCTGAAGCCTCACAGGGTGTCCACATTAGCCAGAGTTAAATGAATGAATGAAAAGTCAGAGCTCAGAGGAAGGGCAGCAACAGGGCAGGCTGACCTATGTGTGTGAGGAGGAGGTGAGAGCCAAGCAATGATTCTGAGATATAAAAAGCTTACCCTGCTAAAGGCAAGCAAGCAGGCCAGTGTGGGAGGTGTGACACACTGTGGATGACTCTGGATTTCCTGCCCCAAATCCCAGACCAAGTTGCCTGGGTCCTCATCTTTTGGAATCGTGGGGAAGCATTTAAGACTTGGGAGAGATGGTGATCTTTTGTGGAGGTAATGCTAACAGGCCAGGGAGGAGAGATAGAAGGGCTGCAGCAGGATAAGCACGTAGCAGGGAGAGCTCAGCTCAGAGGGAACGGTTCTATTGAGCTGTGTTCAGAAGAAGCACAGAAACGCTTAGCAGTGTATTGGTGCAGGAAGACGTGATGGGACGTGGCCAGGTCTCTGGTGGGTGTCAGGGACAAGGGTGCCATCAGTGAGATGGAGAACCCTGAAAAAGTATGTATTAACCATGTGCTTCTGGTGTTCTGACATCTGGGGCTAACTCCCGGGGCACTGCGAATGCCAGGAACTGCCAATTGCTAGAGGTAGTAAAGGACATGCCCTGGGAGCATGCCTTTCATATGCAAAGCAATCAGTCAGAGCGCACACCCCAACCACCTCTATCATAGTGCTCTTACATCCAGACCATTCTCCTCCTGCCCTAGTCATGCCAGGGCCAGGTCCCAGACAAGGGGAGACAGCCACCACACCCTAGAACCCCACGGAGTTATTCAAGCTAGCCAGCCCTAAGCCTGCTTCCCTGGCCTCGCCTTGCCTTCCTCATGGAAGTCAGCATCAAGGCTCCTGCCCATTTTTCTTCTCACCCCCTCAGCCTCCTGACCAACCCTGGTGCTGCCCCACTTGGCCTTCAGTGGTGTGGCGTTTCCCCTTTCTCTTGGGAACTGTGGGGAACTAGTTGTGGCAACCATCTCCCAATCTGTTGGCCTGACAGATCTGAATAATAATATAATCTACATTAAAAAAAAAACTGGGACGGTGAAGAGCTCATTTGTGGACACACTGAATGCAGTGAGACTGTAGGCCACCCAGGAAATGTGGGGGACAGGCTGCATGCCAAGATGCCCACATCACTCACCAGGAAAGTTGGCCCAATGGCAGGATGGATGTTGTCCACACCCACTGCTGTCCTGGCTGCTTTCTTCCTGCGGGTCTTCACTCTGATGGGAGAGACCAGGGCCTTTGACACAGGTTCGTTCTTTGAAGCTGGAGTGAGTGACTAGGGCAGGTCAAAAGTGGGGTGAGCCCAGGCAGGTTCCTAATAAGACTTTGTAACAAGATCGGCCCCCCTCCTTCCCTGTTCCTGGACATCTGGAATCAGGGCTGGGTCATATCAAGCCTGGCTCAGTGGCTACTGGCTGGCCTGTCACCACCACTGCACTCCCACAATGGCTCCGGTCACCCCCAACTCCTCCAGGTCCCTCTTCTCCACCTCTGGCCCACACCTGACCCAGCTCACATGAAGTAGATGAGGAAGAGGCAGAGAGCAAACAGTACAGTGACACCAGCTCCCGTGATGGCACCCAGAACCACTCCTGCCCTGGTCCCCGGTTCCCCTGTAGATAAGACACAATTGGGATGAACTCCAATCTTTATGATGAGCATAAGTTTCCTCCTCCCAGCACGAAAGGAGGGGTGCCCCTCTCCTTCATCCAGGGTTCAGCCCCTGGTTCTCCCACTGCAGGATGAAGAACATGGTCTATGTGACTCCTCCTATCCAACTCCTGTCCAGCAAACGCCATCTCTTCTAGGACCCAGGTTCTCCCCATCTAGGGTCTCTCTACAGCAGACACCAACCTGGATGCAACAGGACCTTGAGGCTCAGGGTTGCATAGACATTACACACACACACACACACACACACACACACACACACAGCCTTGTGGGATGATAAAAGGCCTCCTCCAACCTCCCTTCCTGGGAGAGTGTCAGAATCTCCTCTCCTGGCCTCCACCAGCCCGGCCACTCAGGATCAAATATGGTCTTTTGTGCCCCAGAAGGGGGTGAAAACAGGGAGGTTCTTAGCCCTTCAGACAAGACCCAGGCAGCTCTCCTGGTCCTGTCTGGCCATGCCTCCCAGGAGACCAATATCTGGGGTCAGGGATATGTCTCTGGGCATCACTTGTCAGCAGTCTGAGGGGCACTGCTGAGAGAGCCCTAACAGGGTCACTGTCTAATGGGGAAGGGGAACCAAATGCAGTCACCAATTGAATAGGGCAATGTGGAGAGCTCTGGGCTCCACAAGCAGATCAGGGAGAGGGCTGGGGGATTGACAGTCAGAAAACAGCCCAAAAGGGCCAGCCAGGTGGTGCAGTTGGTTAAGAGAGTGAGCTCTGAGCAACAGGGTCGCCAGTTTAAGTCCCACCTGGGCAGTGAATTGTGCTCAAGCTGAGCTTCCCCTCAGCTGGTGAGAGCACGTGCTCTTAACAACAAGATGGTTTTCCCCACATGGGATGGTGTGCTGCACCCCCTCACCTCAGCAACTACATTGAAAGTGGTAACTGGAGTTGAAGCTGAGCTTGCGCCCTCCACAACTAAGATTGAAGGACAACAACTTGATGGGAGATGATGGTCCTGGAAAAACACAATGTTCCCCTTCCCTAATTCCCCAAAACTGTTCTCTCTCCAATTCCCCAATAACATCTTAAAACACACACACACACACACACACACACACACACACACACACACACAGAGAAAACCTAAAGAGATTTTTGGAGCTGTGATACTATTGCTTGATGACCCACAGAATTTCCAAAACTAAGAGTGAACCATAACATAATTTCTGTGTTTGGGTGAGAATGGATGTGTCACTGTAGGTTCATAGATTGTAATAAATGCCCCCCCCCCTGGCGAGGGGTGTTGACAGTGGGGAGTCAGTGCATGTGAGGGAGGGTGCAGTAGGTATAGGGGACATCTCTCTGCCTTCTGATCAATTTTACTGTTCCTAAACTGCTCTAAAAAATAAGGTCTAATTGAAAATGCCCAAAAGCTTTCATGATGGGAGGAAGGTAAAGAGCATCATTCAAGACGGGCAGGGAGGAGAGGATGTGGGGTCACCCTGGCAGAAGAGCAGTAGAAGAATATGGGGGAAGATTCCAGATGGGGGCCTCTCGTGTATCGGGCCCCACCCTCACCATTTGAACTCTGAAAGTTTAGCTCTGAATCCACCTGGCAGAGACTCCCCTATCAGTCAGTGTCACATGGACAGGAAGCTCCTTTCTACCTGAGCCGTCTCCTAAGCAGACTCCTATTTAGGGGTTCTGTGGGGCACCTTAGACAAGAAGAGAGGAGTTCCTCCTTAATGGGGAGGTATGGAGTTATGTTCATGTAGGCACCACCCTCCACACACTCAGGGCCACAGAAATGCAGAAGGGACAACACTTGTGTCCTCTGGGTCCCCTACTCAGCCCGGCCTCCAGAACAAAATCACCAAGTGTTCCCACCAGACCCTCTGGCCCTCCAACACTTTCAGGAACCCAGGCTTCCTGGCCCAGTACTCACAGGTGACGTTGAGCTGGATGGTTGTCTCCACAGTCACACCAGCTGCAGGGAACTTCACCTGACATGTGAGGTTAGTGCCGTGGTCCTGGGGCCGCGGGGTGAGGGTGATCACAGAGGAGAAATGGGTCCTGGAGCCCAGGGAGATGAGGGCAGCTGAGGTCCAGGAGAAGATGGGGGGTGTGCCACGCTCACAGGCCCAGGGCACAGAGCAGGTCAGGTTCATGGGGAAGCCGGACTCCAGAGTGCCCGGGATGAGGATGTGGGGTGTATGGTTCAGGGCTGGTGAGGAGAGATAGACATGGGATCAGGAGGGAGGGTCCCAGGTGCGGCCCTGAGAGAAGCCTCAGGCTTTGGTCCAGCTCCTCCCTCTGAGACCAAATACATTGGACCCCCAGCACCCTCCCAGGAGGGGGTCCCCTTCCCGCCCTGTCCCGAGCCACCATGTTCTTCCCCTGTGGCATATCTTGGAGTCCTTTCCTTACCCGCCACATGCACAGACAGCAAGTTAGATATGTAATTCCAAGAATTGTTTTGTTCCTTTTCAATCCGAAAAAAGTATTTTCCATCATCACTTCTCCTGGCATCTCTGATGTCCAGGGAACAGTTGGACATCTGAGGTTCACCGAGGAGGCAGAATCGGCCCTGGTTCTCCTTCTGAATGTTGCGACCTGGCTTGTTTGTGGCCACAGCAGCACCTTGCTTTGTATTGGTCCCTTCCCGGAACCAGGACCCATAAGCCAGGTCAGAGCCTGACTGGTAGTGATTAGATGACTGGGGATAGGTGACATTGCAGGGCACGAATACACACAGGCCCTCCTGCACCGTCACAGACTCCTGCACTGTCAGCCGATATCCTTTATCCTGAGCCAGGGACCCTGTGGGGAAAGGAGGGTCAGCAGAGCCCCCACCCCACCAGCCCTTCCCTCATCTACTCACCTGCCCACAGCAGGGGCAGAAGCAGCAGCAGCATCTCTGACACGGAGGGTTTCTGGGCTGTTGTGGGAGAAAAGAGAAGGAAGGCTGTGTGATGGGCACTGGGGGAGATCCCGGAAGCTGGGGCGGAGCACGGGGCCTCCCCATTCACAGAAAAGGAACCTCGGAGATGAAGCTCGTTCCCCCTAAGCACTGAGGTTGGACACCCCACAGACCAAAGACACAGAGACCCACCCAGAGAGGAGCAGACAGGGAGCAGGACTCAGGTCCTGACCCTCACGGGGGCTTCCCTCCAACACTGAGCCTGAACCAAGACCTCTGAGGACATGTGAGTCTCCTAAGGTCCTCCCATCTGAGGGGCTGTTCTGAGCAGTATTGTCTACACCAGAGAGCCAGTCAACCGCTGCCGTGATCTGAAGGGTCACAGTCTCATCCAGACCCTCAGGTTGTCGGTCCTGCAAAGTGTAGGATTCTTTAGCATTTGTGTGAGCATCTGGGTCAGAAGAAATAAGAAGGTCCCAGTTGAAGTGAAGGCAGCATCCACCCATCCATTAAACACTCAGTGAACAACTAAGTGTTGGTTGGCTGAACACAAGGAGGGATACGACAGACCTGGTCTATGCCAGTGACATGGTCTCCACTCAGTGACGTTACTTCCTCCCCAAACACATGCAACTGCCAGGCTTTAGAGCTGCAGTCAATGATGATTTTACCATGTATCCTGCTAGCATATGGTATAATTTCTAAAATTATGAGTAAGTTTTGTTTTTACATCTAACATGCTGATTCGTGACATTTCAATGGTATGTCTAAAATAAAAACGATGAACTTCTTCATGTTAAACAAGGAGAGAACACATGTTCTGTGAGCCAATATACAGTGCTGTTTGAACTGGAGAGACGGGTTTACTTCTTCATCACACAGATTAGCATTTCCTGTCATGTGAAATATCTGCCTCCAAATCTCCAAGTACTTGCTCAACAACAAAGTTGTGGATAAAGAAATGCATTAAAGGCATTTCTCATTATGTTATGTAATGTGGTTTCCATATGTAATATGTTTCAGCCTTTAGCAATAAGATATTTGCCTTTTCAAGTAAACTATATACTTTTTTTTATCAGACAATAAGATTTCACATTTCCTTGTTGCATTGGCTGCTAGGAATCTCAGGGTTATATTTAGTAATGAATTCCAGATTCCTTGTACAATTATGTCATTTTTCCTAGGTTAGTTCTGTTTTGCCTTTAAAAAAATTGCTACCTTGGAAGTGCCATAAAATTGTAAGTCACCTCAAATCTTTTGTGGGACTATGAATGGACTAATTTCTACATAAAATAAAAATAAGTAAGAGTTGTTGAAAAAAGTCTGCTTCTCACAGTTAAATGTAGCTCAAAATATAATATTTCTGGAAAACGTGATTGGATTATGCAGCAACAATTAAAATTTTAGGTTCAGCTAACGTGGTTTTCCATCTCACTCTGTGTGTGTCACTGACAAACTCTTGACCCCAGTGACATAGAAGTATTTGCCATGATGTATTTGTAAAATCTTTCAAACACAGTAATGTCTGGATACATGGTCCTTCAGTCTTACTAACATAGAGAGATTCTTTTACCCTTATTTGATGTATAAGGAAATGAATGAGTCTCCAATAAGCAAAATAATATTGTATTCTAGGTTGTTAAAAAAAAAGTAAGAATGTAGCACTTAATAGAAGGCTCAACACAGTTGGATGTATAGCAAAGAAAGTTATACCATGTTCATAGATGGGAAGCTTCTGTGACTTCTCACTGTGCTTCTTTCAAGAACTTTATAATTTACATGAAATAAAATGTACCCACTTGAAATATGCATTTCTGTGAATTTTAACAAATGTAGACCTCCACAATCAGAATATAAAAGATTTCCACCACCCCAAAGAGCTTTCCTCATACCTTTGTAGTTCATCACACCCACCTCTAGCCCCAGGTAATACTGATATAGTCTCCATTAGGGGAATTAATTCTGCCTATAGGAGAAGTTCTAGAAATGTACTCATCTGTGTCTATATTCTCTCACTCAGCACAGTACTTTGGAAGTTGATCCCAGTTGTATGTATCTGTAATTTGTAATGTCTTATTACTAAGTATTATTCCATTGTATGTCATCGTGGTTTCAATCTACAATGTCCTAACAAGTGGTGTGGAGCATATTTTCATGTGCTCAGCTGCCTTTATTTTTCTTCTTCGGTGAATTTGCTGTTAAATCCTTGGCCTCTTTTTTTATTATAATTATGGTATAATATACATAATAAAAACGTCACAATTTTTAACCATTTTTAATTGTCTGGGTCTGTGGCATTCAGTACAGTCGTATTGGTGTACGACCGTCAGCACCGTCCTTCTCCAGGACTTTATTAATTTTTCCCAAACTGCAACTTTGTGTCCATGAAAAGAAGAATCCTGCATCCCACTGGGCCAGACCCAGGAAACCACCATTCTACTTTCAGTGACAATTAATTTGCTTCCTCTAGGGACTTCATGTAAGTGGAATCGTACAGTATTTGTCCTTTTCTGATTGGCTTGTTGCAATTCACATAGCGTCTTCAGTTCGTATTGTAACATTTATCAGAATTCTCTTCCTTTATAAGGCTGAATAGTATTCCATTGTATGTGTTCGCCACATTTAGTCCTTCCATTCTTTTGTTGATGGGCCCTTAGGTTGCAATTACCTTCTAATTATTGTAAATCATGCTGCTATGAACAGAGATGTATAAATACCTATTTAATTCCTGCTTTCTATTTTTGGGGTATATACACAAAAGTGAAATTACTGGATCATATGGTAGCTCTATATTTAATGTTTTGAGGAATCTTGAAGTAGATTCACAGTTTTATAACCTTAACAGCAAAGCACAGAGTTCCACTTCCTTCACAATGTCACCAACATTTGTTATTTCCTGTTGTACTTTAAAAAAATAATAATAAGCATCTAATGGAATAATGGAGGAGGAACCTCATTGTATGGCTGTAATTTGCATGTCCCTCATATTTATGATGTTCAGCATATTCTCATGTGTATTTTGTTTTTGTAGAAGTACAGGGAAATGTCTAATGAATGTCCTTTGCCATTTTTTAATAGGGTTGTTCAGTTTCTGTTGCTGAGTGAGGGGTTTTTAAAAACATATTTTTAAACAATTGGTTTCATTTCCTTGTTTGTTTCCTTGATATATTTGAATAAAAGTCATTCATCAAGTATATATTTGCAGATTTTTTTCTCCCAGATTTAAATTTTTCTTG